GATGGGAGGGCACCTTCCAGGTGCTCAATGGTTTGCTACTGCCCGCCTCAAGCCAGGCAGCCCCTGGTCAAATTGGTGCAAACCCGCCAAACCCCTTCTGCGTCTGGCCGTGGTCTCAGGTGCGTATCCTACTACGATCGCAAAACATATATGAATCGGTCCAGTACCTCAAAGGCTGCGTGTGCCGGCCGTCAAGCAGATCCCAATCTGTCTCTGCAGTCACATTCCCGAGCTGGATCTGGTCCCCACTGCCTTGTGGGTCAGGCTATTCAGCCAAACGCTCCGCATGGGGTCCCTCAAGCGAACCTCCATTTACTCCACTGCCTAGTGGGTTACACTGTCGGGTCAAAGGTTAGAGACAGAGCACCTCGAACAAAATCCTTCTCTATGAACGGGCAGCAGGAATATCATCCGCCCCTCAACAATATGCCCTTGTCTTTTTATCGTTTTCCTCTCCCTCAACTCTCCTTTTCCTCGTCTACAGAGCAAGAGCCTGCCGCTGACCTCGCAGCTGCTGCCATCGATACATGTAGCTCTTCCCTCAAGCCGGGAGTCTCATTTCACATTGGTTAACGTCCGCATTCAATGTCAGATAGGTCAACAGGCAACAATAAATACAACCATTTACCATATTGGTATTTGTGTGCTATGTCTCCGGAACACGCATACAAGATAACCGCGTCGCGACGAATCTTCAACTCCCTTAACCTCTGACGAAAAGTACTACACTCTTCGTGTCTCGGGCGACACCGAATCGATTGTTCAAGGTATTTACGGTGTTGGCATCGACCTCAGCAAACATGCTGAGGGCAATCTACTCGGCTGGAAACCATGGAACAGCCGCATGTGTGCGGTTCGACTTCCAACCTCTATTGGAATTAATAGGCACCGTCTGAAGACAAGGAGCATTCTCAACACCTTCGTTTATGCCCCTACTGACTGCATTTCGGAGAGTATCCAAAACGTTTTCTACCACAGCCATCTCATCTCTGTATTGCGAAAAATGTTGACGTGATTATTGCTGGTGATTTGAATGCCCAATCGGGTTGTCTTTCAGATTCTGAACAACACTTGGGTAGGTGCTTCGGAGTCAATGTACGCCAAAAAGACAATGATGATCGATTGCTGCAATTGTGGGCCGACCACAATCTTTAGCAGCACGAATGCTCACACCGCGTCATCTGGCGCCCACCAGATCCCTGGATGACCTGGACCTAAATTGATCATATTTCCATCAGTTACAGATGGTGCACCTCAGTCAGAGATTGTCGTTCAATTTGAAGCACATGCCTGGATTCCGACCGTGCTCTATTGCGCGTACGCTTGGCGCTCACTCTTCCCACTTCAAAGAAACGCCTATCTTCTAACCTATAACTTGAACTCGCAGTCTGCGATTCAACAATATCCTAACGAGCTGACCCATCAATTGTCATTGATGAATGAGGTTGGTGAGCGGAACACTGAATGGGATCGTCTCAAGTGGGCCATGAAAATGTTTTTGATGCCTGCTGTACACCTAACTTGACACGTCCAAAGTGTGAAAGGATGTCTGAAACATCGAGCAGTTTGATGGAAGCGCTTAAATAGGCTCCAATGAGAAATGAGCTTCAGCGAGTCCGTAGCGCCCTGAAACGACGTTTGACAAGGAGTCTTCGAATCGACCGGGAACGTTAGTGGGCGGCAACGGCCCGTGAGATGGAAAAAGCTGGTGGTATTGAGAACACCCGAGTGCTATTCCAGCTCATCCGGAACACAGGTCCGAAAACGTCATCAGCTAGTGAGACAATAGCCGAGAAAGATGGTCAGCTTATCGATCCTTAGCCTGATCGATTAGCAAGATGGACGGAACATTTTGAAGAGCAGTACGGTAGATCTGCTCTGACACTGCCGCTCGCTGCATCCCTTGAGCCGTCGTGGGGAGTTGATGTCAATTCGGAAAAGGTTCGACATGAGCTCCCTGTGGAAATAAAACAAGGCTCCTGGACGCGAGGACTTTCCTCCGTCTTTGCTGAAATATGGTGACATCTTGTTGATTGAATTTGCCTGGCTATTCAACACGGTGCTACACTTAGATGCCACTTGTTTAGCCATCGATCGAACTAAACGATTTCGGGCCAACACTGATCGCTACAAGAGGCGAACTGAAGGATAGAACGCAATCGATTTAGCTCAACGTGAACGAAGCTCGAAGGCTGACTAAGAATGAAATAGCAAGGATATGTGTTCTATATTTGTGAGTGATTCTCATTGACTCGAGATATCAAAAGAGCTGGTGTTCTATGAAGAACAGGATTTCTGATCGAGGCCCAGACCTTGACTTTTTGCTTCACGGAGGGTCATTTGACATGGTGCTGACGTACCAAAACCCGTTCGCATTTGATGCACCAACGTTGATTCCACTGCCGCATCCTCTACAAATGACAGAAAGCACATTACCGGATAGCTGGAGGACGTGGAAAGCGAGAGGGATGGATTTCGCTAAGCTGGGTCGCGTTAGATGAATATCCGAGATCATATCAAATAGCGACATTCAGGTATTGTATCGGCGAAGATGCGAGACGGATATTAGAAGCCTGGAACTTCTGCGATTATAACGAAGAACCGGATCTTTTAGAAATAATCGAGTGGTTTGGTGATTTTTGTGAAGACCGATCAAATCTTTTCGCTCGCTGCTGCCGATCGGCAAACGCTAACTCACTTAATATTGAAGTCGGCAAGAAAAGCAAGATTTTATTAGATAACAGGTGGGAACCCGAAGAGCATGGATGGACTATTGCGACACCGTCAATTCAAGGACGATCAGTACTGTTAAGACTTGACTCGAGTCACCGTGAGTACACTGTTCGACAAACACTGTATCGGAGTGGAGTGCAATATAACAGGACGTTGTCACGAAGGGTTGAACAACTTGATGATCCATCCGAAAGGAAAGGCTGTGGCGAAGATTTTCAAGAAGGCAAAGAATCGGCTTATCAAACTCAGAAAGACGCGTGCGGATCCTAATGTAATCCTACTTGGGAAAAGCACCCTAGAAAATTCGGCAACAATCCGGTGCAGCTTCTATTCAAGCACAAAGCAAACCAAAAGCTCGCCCGCAATGGAAGAGGCTACGGAAACTGCAACACATGGACTACGAAAAATGAAGGATGTGGTGGTAAGACGCCAGCTGTTCAGCCATGGATCAAGCTAAACGATTTCGCGCCAACACTGATCGCTACATAAGGTGAACTGAAGGATAGAACGCAATCGATATAGATCGACGTGAACGAAGTTCGAACGCTGACCCAGAATGAAATAGCAAGGGTATGTGTTCTATATTTGTGAGTGGTTCTAATTGACACGAGATTTAATATGAGCTTGTGATCTAGGCCCAAACTTTGACTTTTTGCTTCACAAAGGGTCAGTTGACAGATTAGGGTCACTGAAAAAGTGTCTTCAGACTGGCGAATGTTAACTGTTGTGCTATCTTCAAAAACAGTTAGCGTTCTGTGCGCGAAAATCATCGAGGCATCAGGCACACTGCCCCCAAACTTCTCACGGGGATCATTTTACGATGACTTAGTGTTTCCCGTAGGAATCGAATCACTGAAAGCCATGCCTCCGCCCTAGTAGTGGTTGCATCAACCACGTAGTTAATATACGCCAAGTGTTAGAGTAGACACCCTTACAGACGACCGGGTATGTTGGTTTTCACTGATTTGATAACAGCCTTTGACTTTGTCGACCGCGCCATGTTGTGGCAATGCCCATTTATGAAGGGTTTGCCAGCTAAATTCCTTAGTATTCTTAAGTCTCTCCACTATGGCTCCCGAGGCAGTGTAAGGGCCTACGGGAAGCTGTCTCCTGAGTTTCCCAGGACAAATGAGGTCCGCCATTGTTGTCTTATATCTTCTTCAAATTGGAGATCGAAACAATCATGAATTACTCGGTTGTTCTAGACTCTATTGGGGTCGAAGTTCTTCTATGTGAACGACTGACAAACCTTGAATATGCGGAGGACATATCTCTCCTTGGGTCGGAGGCAGGAACTACCGAAACACTACTAGATGTACTGGTGCGTAACGCTGCACGGTACAGCATGTGCTTTGCACCTTCAAAATACAAAGCATTGTTCTAGGACCGGACTAATACACCAGCGATTCTAGCCGTCTCCGAAAAACCACTGGAAGTGGTGGATCGGTTCACTGACCTTGGTAGCTGTGTCACCTCTGGTGGTCACACCACTGAGGAGGCTACTTCGCGTACCAACAAGACCCGTGTGACTTTCTAGAGGCTCAAATATTGATGGACACGGCGGGATATCAGCCTGTTGTGAAAGGCAGTGTGTAACGCTGCCATAGGGCCGGTGTTGCTGTATGAATCAGAGAAGCGGCCAGTTTGCAATAAAGATCTTAAGCGCTTGGTCGTGTTTAACCACCAGGGTTTGCTGAGTATTGCCCACATCTGGTGGGAACACCGTGTGAGCAATGCTGAGGTCCGCCAGTTGATGTTTGGCAAGAAACCCTCTGGTGCTTCACTCAAGTGTTTGCTGAATTTTAACCGCTTATGTTGGATAGGCCATATCCTCCGTATGCCAGTAGACCGCCTTACTCGGCGCACAGTATAAGCCGTCGCTGTAACTAGTCGGATGAAACCGCGGGCTGGCCAGTCAATGACGTGGCATAAAGGCTTGAGGAAAGTGATATAAGAATTTTATCAGGTTGGTGCAGGCCGTTTTCGTGGATGGGGGAACCGTGAGGGCCCACACCAATGGTTGGAGACCCTTTCAGACACGCCACAGTCAAAAAGTCAGTGGCATTCTTGCATTTCATTTTTTGCACCTCACTACTAATTGGCATTCCGTCCTACTAAGTTTAACGCACCTCCTTGTCTTCATATTCTTTAGCCTTCAACCGTTTTTACAGTTTCTATTTATCATTATTCTGACGACGTGAGTCGTGGCAACTGGATCCGCCGCACTTCGGTGCTTGAATCAAGTTATTCAACTGAAGTGAACTGTGTATCAGAAGATGGAATGGAGAACTGTATTGCATCCGAAGAGGGTTTTACAAAAGAATACAAACGCTGTATTCACAGGTTGAAATTCCGAGAAACAGACAAAGCAAATGTCAAATGAGGTGTGCGGAAAAATTCATAGTGAATACGAGTTTCCTTTCAAAAGGAGGTGGAGACAAGGCACCATGAGCGTAGCTCAGGGGGATCTAGGTCGTCGACGATCACCAGAGGCGCGGATTAGTGAAGCCAGTGCACGACGACGCAGTGCTTCTTCCATATCTTCATCGCGTTCTTTTCCATCTTTGATCTAGATGAGAAAAAACAAAAGCATGATCCCGTAAAAACGAATTGGAATGTGTGTGTTTTTGGTAGTCCCGTGTAACGGAGAAAAGTAATTTGCCAGTATCACAGTAAAAAAGGATGAAACGCTGGTGGAAAATTCGGATCAGTAAGGTTATTACAGTAATCAATGTACGAATAACCTATAGTTATGGTCGAAACAGAAAAGTAAAGCCCACAATATGTTTCCGTCGGAAAGGAGTTGATTAATCGCTTAGGCGAAGCGGGCAAATAATGGTTTTAGTGTAAGATGGCGAAAGCAGGCAGTGAAAATTGCCAATCCAGTGGATAGGAGCATCGCTACCTACAACGATACATTGTCCTCAAGTCGATATGTGACCTGAAGCGATTGCATTTAAACCGCATTACCCGTGATTCGTAGTCTGAGCTGTGTGCGGTTGCTCATTAATGATGCTTGAGGCCAAACGTCTGGGTCAGGAGTTGGTTTGGCATCTAACCATGAACCACTGAGATGAGCGTTGATTGAGAAAGGTCATCCAAAGCAACGCAGGCCCATGGATGAATGCAAACGATCGCAGTAAGTCATGGAAAAGCTTTAGCATGGTGGAAACAATTCACTAATAGCAGTTGGAGTAGGAACTAAAGAAGCTCCGAATATTTTCGAGGGAATATCAAAGCTTATTTGGATGAATACTCATAGAACTGGTAAAAAGGATTGAATTTCCGAATCATGTCTCCCTAAATAACAGTGTAGACAGAAAACCATGTATGATTTTCGGAGGTTGAAGAAAAACTGCCACTTGCCTTTTCTCTAGACTTCTTCCGGGTGATTTCACAATCTTCCCTACGGCGACTGTGATCAACAGTTAGGTTGGGAGGTAGGGCGGGTCCCTCAGGAGACGCTTTACGCTTCTGCGATTGTAGGTCGCGAGACTTTTCCAAGACGGGTTTGCGCGATTTTGTTGAATTGCTTCGTTCTCTTTCACTTACATCGCTAGTTCCACTGGAGGAAGTGTCAGTGTCTGATGATTCACTAACTTCCTCGCTATCCTGAGAATCTGACGAAGAAGATGAGCTCGATGAACCGGTTCTGTCGGCATTCACGTCGTCAGTCCATTCAGGGCCCTCGTCTGAGGCGGGAGGAAGAGCTGGTCCCTCGGGCTCAGCGACTACGACCGATTGAAGAGTTGGTCGTCCGGATGAGAGTTTCTCACTGCTAGTTTCCGCATCACTTGGTTCATCTTCGCTAGATCTGCTGTCGTCACTTGAACTGCATGTGCTTTCCTCACTGGAGGAGCTGCTTCCCCCATCTTCATCGTCAGAAGGGGAAGTGGAAGACGTCGTGGAGCGTAGCTTAGCCACTTGATAGAAACAGAAACGAAAACTTTCTGATAAAAGGTAACTCCGTAATGCATGCAATACGGGATAACTTGAAAAAGTTCCGTGAAAAAATGAAATACTTTGTGTATGATCCGTACTGGCGTAGCTAAGCATAATTGACAGTCAATCACATTATTTCCGTGTTGAGACAAATACGTTGACAACTACAGAATGGAGAAAACGCGATTTCAGTTGGTGCCCAAGGAAAGAGAAGTAGGCACTGAATTTGAGTAGCGCAGTGATGACGCGAACACTGGTGGACACATGTGTGCATTAGTACGTAAAGTGATTGCCTTCACTAATGTACTGCATAGAGCGTGAATAGGATGTGATTTCATGACCATATCATCCGTGGAGTGAGTATGTAGGTTAAAGGCGGGGATAGATCATGGTATCACTCGTCCTTACTATCATCTACAGAGTACCAGAAGCTGAAGCCTTTCAATCGCAAACCATTTACTAACAAATGAGGCGAGCTCATGGGCTAAGCTTAAAGTAATCAGGTCAACATTCGCTAGGTAACTCAAACGGGTGGGATGTATCGATGGTTGTACCCGAAACGATGAATATTTTGTGCTTCACTGTCTAATTCTCGTGCATCTTAAATAGGTTTTACAAGCCCTAAAAACCTACTGACTAATCAGTAAAAATGCTCACTAGCTCAGTTAAAACAAGAAGCGTCACATTTAATTCAAGGAAGACAGGAATCCACTGAAACGCTCGCAAACCGCCCAGCTTATAGCTCACCCATGAGCACTGTAAAACGAAAGGTTCATCATCTAAGATCACGCCGGAATTGCGGGTAAGGTAATATAATAATAATAATGTGCCAGCTGTACGCCGTAACGGCGCTCCGCTGCCGCGCGACCACCACCAGTAGCGCACGGGCTGAGTATACCGCGAGGACGCCCACCCCTACGTGGATTCGAACCGGTGACCTTATGGTTGCAAAGCAAACGTGCAGACCACTCGGCCACCGGCTGACGGGTAAGAGCAACACAAAAACAGTCCAGATAACGTCTCCCTAGCAGAACATAAGGTATAAGTGAAGATTTACCTTACGCGTTGTTTGCAGATGACCTCAAGGTATGGAGGGTAATTGAGGAGCCCGACGACTGTGACCTGCTTCAGCGTGACCTTGAAAGCCTCTCTATGTGGTCAGCAAAAGTCAATCTTCCGATCAACCCGGTAATCATGAGCCTGCGCAAGGGTACCAATGGCCGTCTACAATGTATCGGATTTGAAGTGGGTCGCTCACCAGCTTTGATTAGAGCGGAGGGTGGTGAATATTTGAAACAAGCTGCCTGCAGACATATTCCAAGCAAAGTCAGTGCCGAAATTTAAGAAACTCCTGGACTCGCACTTTGCCGACTTGAGATTTCTAGAATAATCGCCATCATGATAGGTAGATTTGCTTAGAAGATATTAGATGTAGCTACACAGAGGCAGCTCTTTGTTTCATTCTCAGTATACAGTTAGACAAAGCCAGACAGCCACCACATCCAGCAAAGCGCTAGCCGGCCGGTTTGTCCTATTTGGACGTGTCAATAGCGCGCACTTCCCCGGATTCGAACCCATGATCATGGTTCTGTAACTGCGGATAGCGACCTCCGTTCGGCGATTTTTGGCTGTGTTGACAAGATCACTTTGTGTTGGGTTTCTTCGTTCACTGGAATTATCTCGTGGAAATTTAGATACCATTCAGTTCTATTTCTGATTCTGAATTTTTCGACCATAAATACTTGTTAGCACCGCTTGGTTTCGGTGGTCTTGCTATTGCCATTTCGCCAGCAACTGGTCGCCACCTTGTTTTTGGACTATTCACAATGCCGAAGCAATCACCCTGTGGTAGTTGTTCCAAAATAGTCGGATACCGTACAAATGCCCTCACGTGTGTTTTGTGTCAAGTCAAATACCACATTTCATGTGGTGGATTATAAGTTGAACATTTTCGTCGACTTCGTGAAATCCAACACGATTCCGTTCAAACTTTAGGTGAAAATTGCCGAGACAAGATGTAACCAGAAAGAGTAAAGCCGACTTTTAGGCTTCGTTATTACGTAACCAATAGCTCCGAGTGTTTGGCGAAACAACCTAGCCCGAAGTGCCTTCAAGTTTCAGCTCAGTCCTCCTTCTCTACCCGTGTAAACTCACCGGCACGAAGTCCAACCCTTGTGAGAAGCCCAGTTTCACCTGGCATAAATTGCTTACCTTTGTTGTGTCCTACGAGCACTGATGCTTCAGTAGGTGAAAAGTTGAACGCTGAAGACCAGGGGAAAGAACAAAGAACGAAAGAAGGTTGGGCGTTTAAATTCTGTCAACAGCTAGCCAAACCACGTGAGGCTTGTAATATATTTCGCCCTATAATAGCAACCTCGTCCGACCATAGACGTTATAACCTCGGGATCTTCCACGTGCCGGAGTCCAGTGATCCAGCACCCCAAGTGCGCTACGATCACGATATCAAGTTTTTACAAAGTCTAATTGACAGAGGCATCGACGCTGGTGAGGACTCGGTAAAATTGAGGCAAAGTACCCGTCTTGGAAAGCAAGGGGATCAACAAAATCGGCCTATGAGAATAACTCTTGTGGACGAAGCCAGTCCAAGACTGATCTTGTCCCGTCTAGAGGCTGAAAGATTTGAAGATCCATGTTCGTCCAGACCTGGACCCAGTAGACCGGGAAGGGCTCAAGTTTGCCATCATTGAGCTGAAAAGATGTACTGGTGAGGGGGAAACAAATATCCGTATAGTAAGCTTTCGGGTGGTTTCCAAAAATCTGCGAGTCAGGATAAACAGGTTGCTTACACTTCAATCACGCCCAGCGGTTCCTGCTGCGGTCTGCGTGTACGCTTTACCAACGTTCGCCGTGTTATGAACAAGCGCGATGAGCTTTGTCGTTCCATTGTGTCTGAACGGCCAGACATGGTGGGACTCGCAGAGACATGACTGTATTCAAAGGTACACACCCAGGAAATTGAACTCAGCGGTTACTCGCGCTTCCGCTGCAATAGGCTAACGAATACTCACGGTGGCGTCTTGCTCTACATCCGGTCTCCCCTGTGTGGGAGACTTGGGAGCACCTACCGAAGTGACGATGGTCTGCGTGAGCCAGTTGTGCTCCACCCATCTCAGGCGCGGAAAATTACTCGTGGACGCAGTCTATCGCAACCCCGAGTCACTGTTTGGATTGGCTACCTCATCCTCCAACCCACATGAGTCGTCCATATTTTTTTACTTATGGGCGATTTTAACTGTCCTCGAATGCGATGGCCTGATGTGCATTTGATGTCTGGACATGGTGAGATTGAAGCAAAGTACTTGGATTTGGTACTTGAAACTGGTGCATCGCAACACGTAAGCCAGTCAACACGCATAACATCATGATCAACTCCGTCCTGTCTCAACCTGATGTTAACGACCTACGAACAACGAGTGCTTGGCATTCGGATCCTGGAGCCCCTGGCTACAAGCGACCACTCAGTGCACATAGCTTATATGAAATTACCTTTGCCGTATTCAGGTCCGCTGGAGCCGGCTTACAACTACTGGAAAAGGAACTTCGATAATCTAGCTTGAGCTGCGAGCCAACTGGATTGGTCTCTATCACAAACTGCATCTGTGGAAGACTGTTGGACATTTATAAAAGAGAGATTGACGTCATTGTGTTCCCAATTTGTGCCTTTGAAGTGTCGGAAGGTTGGACCGATTAAGCCACATTGATTTGACAAGGAGTATGAAATCTGGCTCGGAGGCTGCGCAGACTGTGGGGCAGATTCCTCCTTTCTGACTCTGCCAATGACTAGGAAGCGTATAAAAGTCAGTGGGACATCTGCAACGGTGCGAAAAGAAATAAGCACCAACATTTTGAAAAGCAGTTCGTAATCGACGCGAAGAGCGCCCCAAAGAGAATCTTTGCTTACCTTAAGCGACGTCTGAAGCCGGTAGGTGATGCACTGAGAGTGCATCCGCGTTGGCGGTGCACTTCGCTTCTGTACTTGCGAATGGCCAGGTGGCTGTACCGAGTTCGACATGTACCGCTTTTACCGAACTCGACAATCTGGATTGCGGCGATTGTCTCTACTCGCCAGCCTTGACGGCACCAAACCTGCCGGACCTGATGGGCTTCACCCACTGGTTCTCAAGTCACTTTCGACCATACTCTCTTCTGTCGTGACTGACCTTTTCAACAGGACGCTGTCCGAAGGCTCGTTGTCGGTTGACTGCAAATCTTCGGTGGTGAAGCCTATTCCGAAAGGCGGCGACCCTAGCAAAGTAGACAACTACAGGCCAATTTGTCTGACACCTAGTTTGGCAAAGGTTGCTGAGAAAATCGTGAAGAAAAGATTGCTGCAGTTGCTACAGTCAAACGAGATCCTGACGCCCGCATAGCACGGTTTTATGCAAGGCCGCTCATGCATTACAAATTTGCTTGTGATGAGGCATGATTGATTGAAGGCAATAAGCAAGGGGAAGTCTGTCGATGTGATATACATCGATTTCAATAAAGCGTTCGACAAGATCAGTCACGAGGTCCTCCTTCACAAACGCAGGATTGCGGTGTCCGTAGCTCACTACACCAGTGGATCCGTGACTTTCTTGTTAGCCGAAAGTGGAGGGTACAGGTCGACGACCATCTAACTGACTGGTATCCCTCTGAAAGTGGCGTACCTCAAGGCACTGTGCTGGGACCCACTCTGTTTTTGATCCACATCAACGATCTACCTCGGCTTCTCCGGTCGCCGTGTGTCTTGTTTGCGGAAGACATGAAGATTTAGAAAGAAATTGACGCTCCCGACGACTGTGGTCTGCTTCAGCAAGACCTAAACCGCCTATTCACATGGTCTGCAAAAGCTTATCTCCCGGTCAACCTAGCCAAGTCTGTAGTTATGAGGTTGGGGAAGGGTGCTGACAGCCGAACCTACACCTCTGACGGCCAACCGCCATATCCCACACCCTCCGTGAAGGACATAGGTGTAGTC